GGTAGACTAGACAAAATTCTTGGTTCAAGGATGTAGAATAATGACAATACAGAGGAAGTTCTGTAGTGATAGACTTTAGGGCTCTGGTGATCCCAACCAATATTTTTACAATAATTTCTGTGAATACTAAGAAGATATGATAATTGAACTTACAGATTTCACAGAATTGAAGGGACCTGAAGCTGGTTGCCATAGTGTGCTCCTATAATCCAGCTACTCAGGAGGCTGAGGCAGGAGGATTGTGAATTTGAGGCTTGCCTGGGCTACTTAGAGAGACCCTGTCTCAAAATAAAGTTTAAAAAAGGGATAAAGGGCTAAGACTGCAGTTCAATGGTAGAGCACTCCTGGGTTCAATGCCCAGTACCTCCCCGACCCAAAAAACCGAGGTCTGGGGATGTGGCTCAGTGGGGAGTTCTTGACTAGCATGCACAAGGCCTGGGGTTCATTCCCAATACTGCACAAAAAAGTGGGGGACAGTTTGAACTAATAATAATATAAAGGGGGAAAACCTATTTGCAATTGGTGAGGATGATGCATAAAGACTCACAGAGGAGTTACTTAGTACTAAGTTACTAAGGATAAATATAAAGTTCTATATCTGGGATTTAAAAGATTGCTTTTGGGGCTGGAGTTGTGGTTCAGTGGTATAGCGCTTGCCTAGCATGTGTGAGACACTGGGTTCGATTCTCAGCACCACATATAAGTAAATAAAAGTCCATCAACAACTAATAAAGTATTTAAAAAAATGTTTTTACAATTTCAGAAAGGAAGTCGGAAAATAGCTCATTAATGTGAGGTGAGGATAAACAAGTTGTAGTTAATGAATTCTGACTGTGACTCTGCAGTATGCAACAATGTCTGGAGTTCTCTGTATGGGATCTTGAGTTTCCAGGAAGACCCTGACAGTGAAGTAAATGAAGAGGAGAGTCCTGGGATGTTAGTGGTCTTGAAGTCATATTTGCCCCACAAGGTGTTGAAGATACTGGGTTTTTAGCCTAAAGAAGGGAAGACTCAAGGTGCACAGGATACTAATCTTCAATGCTAAGAAGGGCCATTGTGTACAAGAGGGTTTAGCTTGATCCTATGTAGCCCCAGAGAATTTGGCTTAGTGGGATGAAGAGCTATAGATCTCCTTAAAAATGGAATGAATATCTAATAAAGTATTGACATTTTATAGTTCCTGGGAATTTAAGGCAGAAAATGGGATAAAATAGCAGCCTAAGTTGTGTGTTTCATTGATATGTATTTAAAGTTAATGGTGCTGGGAGTATTGTGGGTTTAATGTCTTTTTCCAGGGAAAATATTTAGTTTGAGTATCTAAACTAAATCTAGGCATGGATCCAGGGTAGGTCTTCAAGTATTGTTCCTTTCTGGATCAACCTGTCAGATGATTTCTGGATTTAAGTCTAGAGCTCACACTGGGCCCTACTGGAAGAACTGGATTTTGTGTAGGCTGGGTTTGATGATCCATTTAGAAGCACCTCTAGATGTTTTAGGAGTGACATCTTTGTGTCTTTTTATTTCCCCTGGGGTTAAAGCAGGAATGGAGCTGTACCTGGGTTAAGGGTTTAAGGTCATTTTAGGCCATTCTTCTGTGGACTTGGCCAAGTGTTGGGTAAGGACCGAATTGTGCCTAGAGGTAGAAGAGTAGGGCATCTGCATTCTAGAGGTTAGAGTGCAGTTGCCTCTGCATTAATCTAAACCCATAGTCCCCTCCCGTCTCTGATAGAAGCAGGAGGTTGGGCTCCACTTTAAGACCAGTATACTTAGCTGGGCTCTGGGGCCTCTGGTCAGCTGTATCCTGAGGCAGGGGACAAAGAGCCTAGTCAGCACTACTGTCTGCCATATGCATTTCCTGCTCCCAGGGCCAGGAGGAAGCAGGGCTCTGGGGAGGTGAGGATAGCTCTCTTCAGGCAGTTCCCTCTGTTCCCTGGCTTCTTTTTTATTTGTTTCTGTGATGCTGGGGATTCAACCCAGGGCCTTGAGCATGCTACGCAAGTGCTCTGAGCCTATATCCTCAGCACCCATGGGTTTATTTCCATAGAACTCTTTTCCCCAGTCAAATGGATCCCTTGTGCTCAATGCATAGAGCAGATCAGGACAAGATGGTGGTGCATGGCTGAGAAATAAAGTTCACAAGTGGGGAAGGGGCACTACTGGAGTTAAGAGGATAAATGGATAAATATAAAAGTAAAGAAGCAGTAGAGGCTGGTGTTGTGGCTCAGTGGTAAAGCACTTGCCTAGCATGTTTGAGACCCTGGGTTCGATCCTCAGCACCACATAAGAATAAATAAATAAAATAAAAATGTTGTGTTCAACTACAATTAAAAAAAAAAGGAAGAAGCAATAGGGACCAAAATATAAGCAATTCATATATTTTCATTGCAGAAGTTTTTGTAGTAAAGGCTGGTGAATTTTTGGATGTCCCTACTTTTTCCTGCTTGTATCCCTGGACAGAGCTGAGAAGGGAACCTTTGTGGTACACAGCTGCAGAGTCAGATTGTGGTCTATAAACTAGTCTCTTACATTTATTCCAGTTGGGAGTTATGACCTTGGGTTATCTGCAGGCTAACCAGGAATTTGTGTTAGAGGATCCTATTCCCCTGAGCTTATGGTAGCATTACTTGTGCTTGGTGTTTCTAATGGGAACCTGGTTTGTGTTGTGTTTATAAACAGAGCCTGAAGGAAAGGGGTAGAGAGGTTACAGGATGAGAAAAAGGGCACAAGGGCTGCTGAATGGATGGCAGTGGAAGTCTGGAAGGTAGTAAGGGGTAGATGACTGACTGAGGAGGATCAACAGATTAGGCAGTTTTGTGCAGGGCAAGATACAGGCACTTTGGTCATTTTGTGGGATGCCAGTGGAGACTGTTCATTTGTGTCTTTAATTATTAACCCAGCACTGGGGTGGCCTGGAGTGATGGGTGCATTTTTGTCCAGCCCTGTGATAAGATTTGGTTCTTTATTATCTTGTTTATTTGGCAGAAAGGCAAGTGTTTGAATTATATAGGAATGCCCCTCTCAAGAAGAGCAGAAAACAGAGCAGTAAGTAAAATGAGGATGAAAGAGAGGGTGAGAGAAAGATGGATAGCTTTTCTGAGAGGTCAGTCTTTCCTGCTTCTCAGAATGAAGGAGCTTCTGGGCCAGAATGTATGAGGCCAGGATATAACAGAACAGAACTGGGGACACTGAGGACCATGAACTGCCAGGAGAACTCAGACAGGAAGTGGTTTCTGACTGTGGTGGCCTGAAGTAGATGAGTTCCATCACTGGGCCTCCCTCTCTACACTGGCAGGGCAAGGCTGGCCTTACCCCTGGAGCCTTTGGGAGAAGGGCTTTAAGATTAAATACTCCTATGGTGTTCCAGTCGCTGAGCTGTGAAGGGATTCATGGTGTCACCAAGAGGAAGGTATGTCTGCTTTCCTAACAGCCTGGCAAGGGATCTAAGGGACATTCTGATAAGCCTTAGAGTTGTTCTGACTTTCTTCCCCACTACATCCTGGGGTTAGTGGCCAACTTCATAGCATATGTGGGCTTTCCTTCTTAACTTTTTTTTTTTTTTTGGGGTCTGTTTTAAATTCTTAATGGCACAAAACTTCAGGAACAATTAGAACCCCAGTAGCCATCATTTTCCAAATTCTGATAAGCCTTAGAGTTGTTCTGACTTTCTTCCCCACTACATCCTGGGGTTAGTGGCCAACTTCATAGCATATGTGGGCTTTCCTTCTTAA